GAAAGCTGTGTTGGGGCTGGCTGCTTTCTTTGTGCCTCCCAAGTTGGTATCTTACAGGATAATACAGAGGAGACTCAGTAATGACCCTGGTATTGGAGGTAAATCCACTACAGAATGACTTCAAACAAAGAAAATCTGCCTTTCAGTGTGGCCCAGTCAGAGCTAAGCACTTTAACCCAATAATGATGCTGTGCAGTGACCTCAAGATGTAGCCGTTTCCCCTGGAAGTCCTAAAATTATGGCTAAGCTCGAGCAGTTTGGTAAAGGAGGGTCTAAATCGGAGGGTTGGGGTTTTTTTTTGCCACATAAGCTTTTAAATAAATACATATTACTATAATTTTTGGCTTGTTATTAGCTTAATTCTGTTGTGTTTCTTTCTTCATGACACTGACAAAGATTAGGTCATATGTTATGACCGTTTCATGCAGGAATCCTGGTGATTTTAAGTGGTTTGTTTACATCAGGAGGTTTTTACAGGAGTATGAACTTTAAGTTTACAGTGTTCTTAATCAACAAGGAAATCCTCAACTGTCTGCAAACACAAGACCTCAAATACAGTGAAATACAAGTTATTTGGGCCATGATATGAAGCTATTCTATATGTAGTAAAGACAGAGTGTGACAGGCCAGGTAGAGACACACAGGACAGAAGAAGGCATATCCATCAGATTAACACACAGTAATGTCTTCCTGGTCTGGCTCCCAGCATCAGTGATTTATCAATGCAAAGCTAATAGCATCAATATGAATCTAACTAAAAATCAATATTTCATTATCTAATTGTTAGTGGGAATGAAGAAGGATGATTGCAGGAGATAGCGTTTGAGAGCATCTGGAGTTCACAGAGACATCTGGAGGACAAACTCGAGCAGTAACTGCACACTTAGTTATGACACACTTCCAAAGGGTAGGGGGTGAAAAAAAATGAATGTATGTGCCTTTAATGTAGTAAAACACTAACAACAAACAGGGAAAAAATCCAATGATTTGTTGCAAAATGCTGCCGCAAGGTTAAAACAGAGTCACCACCTTACATTTCATCAAACAGATCCCCGCCTCATCCCCACACATACACCCACAAGCTGCAGTCTGAACCATCCATTAAAAATACTGAAATCAAACCAACACAATCATCTCGGACCTCCTACATCCATCACTCCTGGCAAATGGGGGTGTGCTGGCAAAAGTCAATATGATGCAATTTGGTAACAAAGATGCATAAAATGAATCAGCTTAATCCTTTCAGTCACTCTGACACAAGGACGTCACATCTTTAAGACCACTGTTTCACTAACCTCATTAATTGCTTAAAATTGTTTCTGCTTGTTTCCACTAATCAGGTTCGATTTGCATCTGGAATACAAAGTGAGCACTGCAGTTACCATCTCAGAGGGTAAAGAGCATCCCAGCACCTTTAAGTTACGATTACTGGAAAAACACTTTTTCACATTGTCACCTAATTTCATAAAAAAAAAAAAAAAGAAAATAAAGAAAGACCCAAACATCTACAGACACAAAATATAAATAGCTATTCTAGAACTGTTTGGAGGGTACACGCATGCATAGGAGGTGCCCACTATAAGGGCACCCCCTATGCATGCACGCACAACGCCTCAGAGTGTACACAAATGTCTCGGACCCTCGCATATTTGCCACTGGAGAAAGTAGACCACTGGCATAAGGCTGTCAGTTCCAGACCCCCAACACAGAGCAGTACCTCCTTACATGGTCCTGTTTTACTTTGAAAAAATAAACCTAATTCTTATGTGGTCCGGTGTACAAGCCTTTGTCAAGGAGTTTAGTGTTTAACTCTCTGTACATATACATTAATACACATTTTCGTGTTGTGTGATGGGGAATCATTTGTAAGCAGGTACGTCATCTGTTGTTTTGCAGATCTTTAAACGATTCTCTTAAACGAAAAACATCCCTGAGTTTCTGGTTTTTGCCCGCCAGCTTCTCTTTTCGTTTTTATTTGTCTGTGTCAACACGGGAAAAATAAAGAGAAACATTATCTAACCTGTGGCAGCGCTTTTGGGTTTTACCCATCAGAG